TTTCTAGTGTATTGTAGTTTTGTCTTCAATCTGTTTTTATTCATTTATTTATTATACCCTCCCCCCTTGAAAAGAAGATGGTATAGTGATCGGGATGTCCGTCCAGCTGTTCATCCATCTCTTATGTTTTGGGGTATCCGCAGATTCCCTTTTTAGCTCTACTGGTCAGAGACCAGAAGAGCTTATGCGATAGTAATGCGTCCGGCGTCCGTCCGTCTGTCTGTAAACAATTTTTCAAAATGCTACTCCTCCTACAGTTTTGGTCCAATTTCAATATAACTTGGCACACAAGTAGACTACACTAATGAACATAAGTCTGTATATCGGTTTTTGATTTCGATGAACGGTGTTGGCGTTGTTACTAAAAATAGAAATTTTTGTGAAATTCTTTCAAAATGCTTCTCCTTCTATAGTTTTGATCTGATTTAAATGTAACTTGGCACACAAGTGGACTACACTAATTTACACAATTCTGTGTATCGGTTTTTAATTTTGATGAACGGTGTTGGCGTTGTTACTAAAAATAGAAATTTCTGTGAAATTCTTTCAAAATGCTACTTCTCCTACATTTTTGGTCCGATTTCAATATAACTTGGCACACTAGAGGACTACACTAATTTACATAATTCTGTCTATTGGTTTTTGATTTTGATGAACGGTGTAGGCGTTGTTACTAAAAATAGAAATTTCTGTGAAATTCTTTCAAAATGCTACTCCTCCTACAGTTTTGGTTCGAGTTCAATGTAACTTGGCACACAAGTGGACTACACTAATTTACATAATTCTGTCTATTGGTTTTTGATTTCGATGAACGGTGTTGGAGTTGTTACTAAAAATAGAAATTTCTGTAAAATGCTACTCCTCCTACAGTTTTGGTCCGATTTCAATATAACTTGGCACAAAAGTAGACTACATTAAGAAACACAATTCTATTTATCAGTTTTTGACTTCGATGAACATTATTGCCTTTACCAAAATGCTACTCCAAATACAGTTTTAGTCTAATTATAATATAATGCGGCATGCAAGTAGATTACACTAAGAACATAAAGAGACTTCAAGGATCATTATTCTATTTATTGCTGTTGTAAAGTTTCAATTCCCAACTGCTTAAGTACTTTCTCTTCATTTGCTATAAGTAGAAACCAGTAGAGCTTCAGTCTCGACAGAGACTTCTGGTTCCATTGAATGAAATTTAATGGGACTTTTACAGAGTCTTTGCTATATAGTGTTATTGTGCACCTCCTATTTTACGTTTTGATCGGACACGTGTTTGGTTGGTTTCCCAGAACAATACATGTACATGAGCACTGTCATTGTAAATAAAGAAGGGTACCCATCTCTTATTCGTAACTCATCCTATACCATCATTTAGTCAGTTTATTGCTCACATTACATTTAGTTTAAAACTAGGGGTACTTTAAGCACTGAGCTCACTAACGTGTAAATGATAGCCCCCGCCTCCCAAAGGATTATAATGGCAAACTCCATGTTTTGCTTAAGGAGATCCGAAATAAATATCAGATCAAAAAGTAAAATAGGAGGTGTACAATGGCATTATGTAATAAACAAGAGGCCCATGGGCCACATCGCTCACCTGAGAAGCTTTGACCATTCTGTTCTTTACCAGATTTCACCCTTGTTATACATAATGCATCCCCACCCTATCCCACTGATCATAATTTAGACATTTTGAAATCTACACTACCCCCTGATCCTTCCATGGGCACATATGTTTCAGCTTTTTTGGCCCAGTGGTTCTTGAGAAGAAGATTTTCAAAGATGTTTCCTATATATTTCCATGTAAAACTTTGATTCCCTATAATGGCCCCGCCCTTCCCCCGGGGGACATGATTCCTACATGATTCCTACAATTTAGAATTTACACTACCCCAGAATGCTTCCACATAAGCTTCACTTTTTATGTAAAACTTTGATTCCCCATTGTGGCCCCGCCCTTCCCCCGGGGGTCATTATTTGAATAATTTAGAATCTACACTATACCAGGATGCTTTCACATAAGTTTTCTGGCCCAGTGGTTCTTGAGAAGAAGATTTTCAAAGATTTTTCCTATATATTTCTAAATAAAACTTTGATTCCCCATTGTGGCCCCACCCTTCCCCTGGGGGTCATGATTTGAACAATTTAGAATCTACACTATACCAGGATGCTTCCATATAAGTTTCAGCTTTTCTGGCCCAGTGGTTCTTGAGAAGAAGATTTTCAAAGATTTTTCCTATATATTTCTATATAAAACTTTGATTCCCCATTGTGGCCCCGCCCTTCCCCTGGGGGTCATGATTTGAACAATTTAGAATCTACACTACCCCAGGATGCTTCCACATAAGTTTCAGCTTTACTGGCCCAGTGGTTCTTGAGAAGAGGATTTTTTAATGACCCCACCCTATTTTTGTCTTTTCTTGATTATCTCCCCTTGCGAGGGGATATGTCCCTTCATTTTAACAATTTAAATTCCCCTTCACCCAAGGATGCTTTGTACCAAGTTTGGTCAAAATTGGCCCAGTGGTTTTTGAGAAGAAGTCGAAAATGTGAAAAGTTTACAGACGGACGGACGACGGACAAAATGTGATCAGAAAAGCTCACTTGAGCCTTCGGCTCAGGTGAGCTAAAAATCTGTAAAAGTATCATTAAATTATACTCTGTGGTACAGTGTAGGAGAAATTGTGGATAAGAGATGGATATCCTTCAATATAAAAGAGAAATAGCAGCGTCAATGTTTTGCTTTGGAAAACCCGAAATATACATGTTTCTAATCAAAAATACATGTAAAATAGGAGGTACACAATGACACTATGTAACAACGAATCTTTGAAAGACTCATTAAATTTTATTCAGTGATGATATAAGAGGTGTTGTGGAGAAGAGAGATTAGTACCTCAAAGTGTAACGGACGGACTTACAGCTAGACGGACACTCCGATCACTATATACCCTACCACTTTTCAAGCGGGGGGTATAACTGTGTCATCATCACATTAAAGGCGGAGGGGGGGTATCATTTAGAAGGCTCATTGCTCACAGTACCTCGTTTTTCTTCTGTTTAATAGCTTTGTCTTCATGTCTATTTTTATTCATTTTATTCGTTTCCCAGAAATTCTATTTTTAATTCTAATTTTTACCTATTAAAATTACTAAAAGTTTTAATTTCTTCTTCTTGGCGTTATATCTAACACGAACAAGGTTAAAAATTATACGAGTAAAAAAAATTATAAACAATCAAAAGTAAAAAGAAAGCAAACAAATACAGCATAGCTGTATCCACATGAAAAAATTGGCATCAGTAGTACAATGGAAGGCTTAACATAGGGTTAGTAATAGGAACATTGCATGCCGAAAATGTGGCATACATTTTACTTCAATATAATTACCAATACGAAAATGTGTAGTTGACCGTCAACTACACATGTAGCCGTCAACTAACCGTCAACTAGTCGTCAACTGTTAATGCGAAAACAGTTGACCACTCGGAGTTGAATGCTTTTCTGAAAAGCGATCAACTGATTTGCATAAAACGGCCAGTTGACCATTAATTGAATGCTAATACTTTGAAATTTCATGCAGAACAAGAGTTGACCACTATACCCATACGAAAATGTGTAGTTGACCGTCAACTAGTCGTCAACTGTTAATGCGAAAACAGTTGACCACTCGGAGTTGAATGCTTTTCTGAAAAGCGATCAACTGATTTGCATAAAACGGCCAGTTGAACCATTAATTGAATGCTAATACTTTGAAATTTCATGCAGAACAAGAGTTGACCACTAGTTGAACACTCCGACTTGATAGAAAATTTCTCCCACGCTAAATTTATGTTGGGTTCAAAATTACATTATCATAGATCGGGTTTGTTATACCATAATTACAACAACCAAGATTTGAATCAGTACATGTGTGTTTTCTGTAGAAGATGGGAATTTTGATTTGAAACATTATTATTGTCTTCGTGATGATTCAGCGTGTGAAATATATCTCATGTACTATTGTAAGTATATAAAATTTAAAGATTTGTTTTTATTAAGCTTGTTATTTTTAAACAGATAATAGGAATGCAAAAAAATGTAGCCAGTATAGGTCCCTACTTTTGTGTACTTTTTTAAATATTGAAAGAATTCTGAAAACCTGTTATGCATTAAGTGTCTTGTTGTGTTTCTTGTCGTGTTGTAAAAATAAACAATTGCTTTAGACTAATTCTATATATAACCTTTTCTGCCCAGAAAATGAAGAAGGACTGTAACAACTTATGAGAGTGTGCCAGCTCAATTCATTTATAATGCATTTAGATTTACAAGTACCTTTATGTCAATTTAGAAACTCTATTGGTTTGACTTTTCATATTTTCAAGAACACTGCTTGTCTTAGATTTCAAATCTCCCTCCATTTTTTTCAAATATTTAATGAAAGCAACCTACGTGCACTGACTAATGGAGTATTCAACTAGCGGTCAACTGCAAAGGAAATAGTGGAGCATTCAACTAGCGGTCAACTGCAATGGAAATAGAGGAGTAATCAACTAGCGATCAACTGCAAAGGAAATAGAGGAGTATTCAACTAGCGGTCAACTGCAAAGAAAATAGTGGAGTATTAAACTAGCGGTCAACTGCAAAGGAAATAGAGGAGTAATCAACTAGCGGTCAACTGCAAAGGAAATAGAGGAGTATTCAACTAGCGGTCAACTGCAAATAAAATAGTGGAGTATTCAACTAACGGTCAACTGCAAAGAATATATAGGAGCATTCAACAGTGGTCCACTCTATGCAAATGAGTTGATCGCTCCCTCATTTGCATGGCAAAAATTCAACTAATGGTCAATTGACGGTCAGTTGACCGTCAACTAGTAGTCAACTGAATACTCTGATTGAATTCTAATAGTACTTTTTCATATGGGATAATTTTGTATTTACAAAAAAAAATTAAAATGCACATGTATGCTGTTAAATAACATATAGATTATATAAAACTCAATAATTTTTCACACCAAACAACTCTTCAAATGTACATTATAGATTGAAAAAAAAAAAAACGATGAAACTCGGTAACAGAATTGTCTTCATGAGAATGAATTTAACTTCATTTATTTACAAGATTTAGAGCTTTATTTCTTTGTTTTTCACGGTTTATCTGAACCCAAATACCACTGAATATCCTTGCTTTGTTTCTGGTTAAGCTGGCAGCATAAAAACTGGTCTCTCATAGCTTTCATCAGAGGTATTAGAGGCTTCTATCTTCTGGTAGCAGGAACCCATGTCAAGGCCGCCCTCTTGTTCTCGTTCTTCCACATTTCTTCCCATTGTAGTGTACTCTGGGATATCCTGATAACAGTGGGACCCCGAGCTGTCAAACGATCTGGGTTTGGACAACGTACATATGCTTTTATAGGTGTTCATTTCCACCGGTGCAGTCCTCCTCCGCTCATTATTCTCCATGTGAAGACGTAACATCCGTAGTTCGTGATAATCTGCATCCAGATCCCGACCGGTTTGTTGCCGTCGGATAATGATGATAACAAGTAATATTATTGTTAAAATACAACATCCGAGCGCCGTGCCTCCTACCAGTAGGATTATTTGTAAGTGTGAAATATTTCTTATATTTGAGATTGGCTCGCCATTTTTATTTCTACTTTGAACAATGTTTTTGAGCTTGTTATCTACTTCCACCAATGATGTTTCTGTCGTGTTTGGAGCTGCAATGTTTTATGAGCGAGTAATTAAATTGTAATACATGTATATGACATTCAGAAATATATTTTTTTTAGTGTTGGCAAATCGGACGATTTTTAGTAACCGGTTACTCGCTTCATCTTCCGATCGAGTACCCGGTTACTCGGATGATTTTTGTTAAAAGTATCAATACCTATTATTTATCTTATTCTATACTTATCGGTAGTAGTAATACACAAATATACTGTATAGGGACATTATATTTACAATACACACATACGATATCGTCAAAGATTTACGATTTTAAAAATTAATAGGGAATTCGACACACAAAGACAAATAAATACGTCATCGTCAATCACCATTTTACACTATCTTTTTCAGCCCCCGAAATATGTCGCAATCAAGGAGAATAATTATTTACATACTCCATTATCAATAGTTAATATGTGGAGTGTCAAGTAAATCGCTGCTTTCCGAATAATTTATGCTTAGGTGATTAAAAAGATTTTGAATCAGCTGTTCTTTTGTTACAACTCCAAGCTTATTATGTCTGCGGCGGCATCTCGTTAAATCATCAAATGAGGTAATTATAACTCAGGCCTTCAAAATACGTATACCCCAAGCAATCCAAGCTATCAATTATATAAACTGCATGTGAAAAACAATCAAAACAATTTGATTCACTACAACTATACGCTAGATCAAGTCTAACGGTACCTAAATTTAGGGAAATGTGTAAGTTAGTATACATTTATAACGTATAATACATTCATTTTCTAAGCCTTGACTATGTAGAATTTATTTTATCCGAGTAACCGAATAGCAGTTGTACTAACCGATACTCGCAACGTTCGACGGTTAACCGGTTAACCGGGTACTCGTTGCCAACACTAATTTTTTTCAATATGTAATTTTTACAAATATATTCAAGGACATAAATCTTTTTTTCTTCCAAAGTATATGATTTTGGTACCTAATTTTAAAGCCGCTTAACCCGAAACAGGCACATATTATCTTACACAATAAAAGTACGTCATTACATAGATAATATATAAAAATAAATGATAAGATTGATTTAATTGTTTATTAAAACAATCCTTACATGGAAAACGCAGATCAAAAACCTTATTGACAAACAGTAGTTCCCGACGGAAGTTAAGATATGTTGTGAAGTCAATTTTGATAAAAAAAATAAATTTATCGGATATATCTTATAATGAAGATAATTCAAACCCGAGTATTTTTTTCTCTATTATTAGAAGCCTATAATACATCTTTTCAAAATTAAGAAATTAATTGAATATAATCCATAGTAATTTTTATATTAATATATGCATATTTAAAGAATAAAGGAAAATCAGATATTTTAAATGATTTTTTTAAAGGAGCTAAAATATATATGACGTGACTTTATATGTACTTTGTTGTGAAAAAAAATGCTCGGGTGTGTTCTTCATGAGATAAACATGTAAGCGATAAATTTAATTTTTCGAAGGTGATTTCACGCGATATCAACAATGATCAACATAGGATTATTTTTTGTGTGACCTAACAAAAATAATTTTTTTAACTTTTGAATTTTGATATCTTAAAAGAAAAGGACTTTGGGGATATAATTTGACAAAATTTGAAACAATTTATGGACAATTATTTTTCAAGAAGAAAATCGAATATATATTTTTAGCTATTAGAATCGGACCAAGCGGCTTTAACGTATAACATGTTTAAGGACCCTCTCTACACGACTGCAAAATTTTTTTTGGGCATAGAGAAAAATATATTGCATAAAGGAATTAATATTGAGCTAATTTATTTAATTTTCAATGTATGGTGCGTGGCATTTGCCCCCAGGAAAAATGTTCAAAGAAAACACAGTATCAGTGAATAGAAATCACTGTAAATTACTTCAATAGAGAAAATACATGTAACTAACACGATCAGTTCATTTATCTTAGCCTTTTAAATTGTTGAGAATACTAGAATTGATTACAAATTGAGTAATATTTTGTAATTTTTTTAGAATTTAGATCTAAGGGCAGATCACTCTAACTGCTGAAAAAATACCGTAGAATCAGAACTCTTTAGTGTGCAGTGGAGAGAGGGTTCTTAAATTGAAATAAATTTTTGAAACACATAAAGATATATTTTTGTATGAATATTTGAAATTTATACAAATTTTTACAATTCAAATAAAAATTATGTAAATCATTGATAAAAAATGAGGGGGAAAATTGTCTGAAAAGTCTTTTTGTAGGTTGTCATCTATATTTCCCCAGCAAAGAGGATTGTTCCAATCGTAGATACTTTTTAATCTGAATCTTATAATTTTCATGAGAATTTGACCCTACCCTTCTTTGAACATCCTGTAATGTATATAGTGTATAAGAATTTAATCCTGGCTTCCTTTGAACATTATGTAATGTATAAAAAATTTGATCCTACCTTCATTTGAACATCCTGTAATGGTATGGCAGAGGTGTGGATCACAGTCACACACAGAAATGCACAAGTCGCCGTAGTAAGGATAAACGCACAAATCGGAACAATTTTTGTTCCAGCGTCCTGGATCACACTCTTTCAAGAGTAAATTTAAACAATAATTTAATTCTTTTGGAATATTGCATACTTTTCTTTGTCTATTCAGCTTTCAATTATATTATATTATTTTCCCCGATTCATACTTTATATAAAATGATAAATGAATACCAACCATAACAGGTTCCGTTGATCAATAAATAGTTATTGCAACATTTTCTGAAATAAAATATAAAAATGATGAGTGTTACAACAACCACAAGTGTTGAAATTAGGTCAACCGTCAGTTTTTCTCAATAAGTTAAAAATAATTCTATTTTGATCGTAAATTAACGTAAACTTATCTAACAAGCATAGCTTTTCTGGTGATTTCTCGCAACATCCTTGTTCATAGTGAGTAGATGTGACGGACAGACAAACGGGCAGGAGTACTAGACAGATGTAACTCTCCATTGTGGAATATTCTATTTAGGGACTTCTGTAAGATTTATATACACAGTCGGTCATGTGATTTCTTTCTATTTGTTGATGAGGTAAAGACATCTGATCTTTTACCTTATTTTCTAAGTCCTCTTTCCTATGTCACTTCCAGTTCGTATTCCTTTAGAAGGTTTCCTTTACAACCATGAAGTCCCATCGACAATAGGAAATTCTGGTCAACTATTCCACATGTATATCTATGTCGTTATAATTGTTTCATATTTTCCTTGTTCATCTGTTCTATACTATCAATTTACATTTCTATGATACAAAGTCTAAGGCTTTTGGATCATGTGCTTTTTGTGACTTCGTGTATATGCAAATGAATCTATAACTAGTTAAGAATCATGCAGTGACAATCCCAGTTTTTGAATATTAGTCTTTTCCAAATTAAAAAGGCCTTTTAAAGCAAAATTAGACCAATTATCTTTGCATTGAAAGATTTCAACCTACGAACAAATGATGGTCAGATTTGTTTAACATTTGGATATTTCACACACTAAAAGACAACAACAAACAGCAAAATTTTATGATAAGCGTGATAACTTTAACTTTTCTACCGAAAACTCCCCTTGTTCGTTATCTCCAAATCATGTAGCAATATACCCTTTACACCTACATATAGAGTATGTATCTCCCGAACTGATTCAATATGCAAGAACTTACTCTAAGTACGTACAAATTATAAAACGAAGCAAACTATTGACAAATAAATTAATGACACAGGGATATAAACAGAACTGTTTAAAGTAGGCATTTCACAATCTGTATGTTCGATACAATGACCTTGTCAACAATTGCAACATATCATTAAGTCACTTGCAGAGTGACGTTTTTCATTTCAATTGCTATAGGCCATTATTTTCACACTGAGAGGTCTAGAGATTTTTCGGTTTTCCAATCATGGTGAGGAGCACATGACAGTTGTGACCGGTGACATTTATTTTTTCATTTGTACAGGTCATGATTCTAAGGTTTTCCGAAAAAGTACAAAGTAATACATGTTCATAAAAGTATTATTCTACGAGTGAAGCTGGGTTGTGATAGTTTAATAACAATGGAAACATCTTCATCTAATAAATATTTTATTTAACCATGTGATAACAGCTTCAGTAAGTACAGGGCTGGTTTCCTAAAATAAAAATACCTGTGTATATTACTTAATATTAAAAAGGTCCTTCAATAAAAAGTTACTTATTGTTTTTGAGGCGATATAGTCATCTTTTGTTTCACTTTATTAGAACTCTAAATTCTTTAACATATATGTTCAAACAATACAAACTGGGAGCAAACCAAACATGAACCTCAATTAAAAACTTCAGAGGTTAGATCAGGTTACATGTAATATCCATGTATTATCAAAACTCGAAAGTATCAGAGTCCTAACGTTTTCTCTACGTGTTTTTATAAACGACGTAATGAATAAACACAACTCAACTCACAATTGCAATCATAACAATACAAATCGTAAAGAAATCAAGTACATTATACTGTATACAGGGAAATTTTCGCCCCCCGTTTTATTTTTGCCCCTTTCACCCTCTTCTTGATCGGGTGAATTTAAAACGGGGCAAATGCAAATTACACGGCACAATTTCTTAAACAGAACAATGGCTGGGCGAATTAAAAACGGGGCAAACTTGTTCGCAAGTGCAAAAGGGCGAAAATAACACGGGGCGAAAATAACCCTGTATACAGTAGTTTTGAAGTGATAGTAAAAATTAGTTTTAAAAAATCCCATAATAACATAATAATTCATTGGTACAGAGGACAGTAAAAATCGCTAAACATTTAGTAAGCGGTGGTAAATCTATAATTAACTCTCTATAGCTCCTGATTTGTATTGTTTAAATGGACTTGAACTTGAATGTTCATCGTTATCTCGGTATATTTCATTCTGTGGTTAGAAAAAATAATTAAAAATTAAAGTTTCTTTTATTAAATATCTCAAATTGAAATGTAAGGATTGATAAGACCATTGAGTAAGTAAACCTGGAGAAAAATAATATCCAGAATTCAAGCTCAAAAGTCCACTAAGCAATGCAAACAAGCAGCAGAGCAAACAGAACCTTTAAGACATAAGCGGTGGGATCAGGTACCATGAAGGAGTGAGCATCCTTTGCCGACCGGTCCCATCCGCCACGTGCCCCTTGTTATGATCGGGCAATAACGAAAACAATTTCTTTAAATTACGAAATCCTTTTTATAAATTATAGACAATAAAGCAATTTCGCCTTCAAATGGTACATATTTTAAATATAACGTCAAGCGGATTTCTCAGTGTTCGAAGTGAACCAAGTCTATAAAGTATGCAGTGGTCTATTTCTGTCTAAACTGAAAAAGTTTCTTTCATACCAAATTTGAAGCCTCTGTTTTTATACCAAATTTGAAGCCTTTGTTTTTATACCAAATTTGAAGCCTCTGTTTTTATACCAAATTTGAAGCCTTTGTTTTTATACCAAATTTGAAGCCTCTGTTTTTATACCAAATTTGAAGCCTTTGTTCTTATACCAAATTTGAAGCCTCTGTTTTTATACCAATTTGAAGCCTCTGTTTTTATACCAAATTTGAAGCCTCTGTTTTTATACCAAATTTGAAGCCTCTGTTTTTATACCAAATTTGAAGCCTCTGTTTTTATACCAAATTTGAAGCCTTTGTTTTTATACCAAATTTGAAGCCTCTGTTTTTATACCAATTTGAAGCCTCTGTTTTTATACCAAATTTGAAGCCTCTGTTTTTATACCAAATTTGAACAAAGAATTATGTAACAAATATGAAGACTTAGTATTTATACCAAATTTGAAGCCTCTGTTTTTATACCAAATTTGAAGCCTCTGTTTTTATACCAAATTTGAAGCATTTGTTTTTATACCAATTTGAAGCCTTTGTTTTTATACCAATTTGAAGCCTTTGTTTTTATACCAAATTTGAAGCCTCTGTTTTTATACCAAATTTGAAGCCTCTGTTTTTATACCAAATTTGAAGCCTTTGTTTTTATACCAATTTGAAGCCTTTGTTTTTATACCAATTTGAAGCCTTTGTTTTTATACCAAATTTGAAGCCTCTGTTTTTATACCAATTTGAAGCCTTTGTTTTTATACCAAATTTGAAGCCTCTGTTTTTATACCAAATTTGAAGCCTTTGTTTTTATACCAAATTTGAAGCCTCTGTTTTTATACCAAATTTGAAGCCTTTGTTTTTATACCAAATTTGAAGCCTTTGTTTTTATACCAATTTGAAGCCTTTGTTTTTATACCAAATTTGAAGCCTCTGTTTTTATACCAAATTTGAAGCCTTTGTTTTTATACCAAATTTGAAGCCTCTGTTTTTATACCAAATTTGAAGCCTTTGTTTTTATACCAAATTTGAAGCCTCTGTTTTTATACCAAATTTGAAGCCTCTGTTTTTATACCAAATTTGAAGCCTCTGTTTTTATACCAAATTTGAAGCCTTTTTTTTTATACAAAATTTTAAGCCTATGTTTTTATACCAATTTGAAGCCTCTGTTTTTATACCAAATTTGAAGCCTCTGTTTTTATACCAAATTTGAAGCCTCTGTTTTTATACCAAATTTGAAGCCTCTGTTTTTATACCAAATTTGAAGCCTTTGTTTTTATACCAAATTTGAAGCCTCTGTTTTTATACCAAATTTGAAGCCTCTGTTTTTATACCAAATTTGAAGCCTTTGTTTTTATACCAATTTGAAGCCTTTGTTTTTATACCAATTTGAAGCCTTTGTTTTTATACCAAATTTGAAGCCTCTGTTTTTATACCAAATTTGAAGCCTCTGTTTTTATACCAAATTTGAAGCCTTTGTTTTTATACCAAATTTGAAGCCTTTGTTTTTATACCAAATTTGAAGCCTCTGTTTTTATACCAAATTTGAAGCCTCTGTTTTTATACCAAATTTGAAGCCTCTGTTTTTATACCAAATTTGAAGCCTTTGTTTTTATACCAAATTTGAAGCCTCTGTTTTTATACCAATTTGAAGCCTCTGTTTTTATACCAAATTTGAAGCCTCTGTTTTTATACCAAATTTGAAGCCTCTGTTTTTATACCAAATTTGAAGCCTCTGTTTTTATACCAAATTTGAAGCCTTTGTTTTTATACCAAATTTGAAGCCTCTGTTTTTATACCAAATTTGAAGCCTCTGTTTTTATACCAAATTTGAAGCCTTTGTTTTTATACCAATTTGAAGCCTTTGTTTTTATACCAATTTGAAGCCTTTGTTTTTATACCAAATTTGAAGCCTCTGTTTTTATACCAAATTTGAAGCCTCTGTTTTTATACCAAATTTGAAGCCTTTGTTTTTATACCAATTTGAAGCCTTTGTTTTTATACCAATTTGAAGCCTTTGTTTTTATACCAATTTGAAGCCTTTGTTTTTATACCAATTTGAAGCCTTTGTTTTTATACCAAATTTGAAGCCTCTGTTTTTATACCAAATTTGAAGCCTCTGTTTTTATACCAAATTTGAAGCCTTTGTTTTTATACCAATTTGAAGCCTTTGTTTTTATACCAATTTGAAGCCTTTGTTTTTATACCAAATTTGAAGCCTCTGTTTTTATACCAAATTTGAAGCCTTTGTTTTTATACCAAATTTGAAGCCTCTGTTTTTATACCAAATTTGAAGCCTTTGTTTTTATACCAAATTTGAAGCCTTTGTTTTTATACCAATTTGAAGCCTTTGTTTTTATACCAAATTTGAAGCCTCTGTTTTTATACCAAATTTGAAGCCTTTGTTTTTATACCAAATTTGAAGCCTCTGTTTTTATACCAAATTTGAAGCCTTTGTTTTTATACCAAATTTGAAGCCTCTGTTTTTATACCAAATTTGAAGCCTTTGTTTTTATACCAAATTTGAAGCCTCTGTTTTTATACCAAATTTGAAGCCTCTGTTTTTATACCAAATTTGAAGCCTCTGTTTTTATACCAATTTGAAGCCTTTGTTTTTATACCAAATTTGAAGCCTC